ACCACGACACACACACACACACACACACACAACATATATATATATATATATATATATATATATACACCTGAACTGGATATGTACTGTATAAAACACGAAAATTCAATAACTACTGTAACTACAGCTGCACAAGATATACACTGTCTAAACCATGAAACTCCAACCATTACTGTAACTATACTTATGGCAATAGAGACTATTTCCATGTTTTCTTTTAGCTTTTACTTTTCTGCAGTATTTTCTTGAAACAAAATCACAAAAGCATTACACTCTGTACGATTACAGAATTAACTTTCGGTAATATTGTGGAACACTCTAATCTAAATAAATTAACAGGGTGAACAGACCAAACAATAAGAAAAATAAGTATGAATATATATTTATTGAATGACACAAAAAGGCCTGTCCTAGCATTGCTCGTTTTTACAGCCCTGACATATCACTTGCTTCCTAGTTTGAGATGTTCACAAACATTCATAAAAGGTAAACGTTTATATTAAGCAACACTCATAAAACGTAAGAGGAGATGAAAAAGTACGTTCTTTCTTGTTAAGAAATGAAAATTAAAGTTTTTGCTTATCTTATTCAAAATTATAGCGTTTGTCGATTTTGCGTAGTGGTATTTAAGGTTTAAAATCAGATGTGAGCAAATTCCAAGGTATAAACATATTTCGCTCACTTTTATTTTTACTAGAATTAGCGACTTTTTTTTTATGTGTAAATACTTATACTCGTACATGGAACCTTTACTGCCCACTTAAATCTCTCTTTTGGCAGTTTGCCAACTATATGGTCTGGCGTCATCTGCACCTATAGACCAGGAAAATAAAAAGCACACTGTAACCTTGAAGTTCAAGAGACTTATATTTACAAGGGAAAGTGAAACCTACCACCTTTTCAAATAATCTTCACTTTAGGTCGAAACATCATGTAATTCAATATTACACGCCCTCTGATCGAGTATAGTAAAATTGGTATCGTTATATAATTCTAAATTTATTAAACTCTATCTTTAATATATTCTGCTTTATTATTACGCAGTAATTACCAGAAATGACAAAACATCCCTTAACTTCCTTCAATCTACTCGAGCTTGTAACGGACAAAGAATTATGAATCTGAGATGAAGTAGACACCACGAAAGTATCACTAGTTACTTGACTGTCCTATGATAATTTCAATGCTGCTCTATACCCTTTGGAACACACGACTACGAAACATCGGTTTTACAAACAGCACGAAAGATGAAACTGTGCTTCACTCCGTATCGGAATTTGAAGAATTAATATTAACTTTCGATTAGAGCAAGCTGCTATACACTTAAGAGCAAATATTTATGAAGATACAAAATATATATGTGATACGTCCGAAACGTTATCAATCTTACTTTAATGCCCCCAGTGGCACAGCGGTATGTCTACAGACTTACAACGCTAGAATCCGGGTTTCGATACCTGTGGTGGGCAGAGCACAAACAGCCCATTGTGTAGCTTTGTGCTTAATTACAAACAAACTTACTTTAATCATTCCATGTGACAAACACACAGAGCAGCTACAAGAAATAATGAATAACGTTAAATTTTCAGATAAGAGACAAGTTAAGTCTCTAGAAAGTAGAAGGCTTAACAAAAATAATGATTATAATGCAAACTTACAACACTAGTTAAAACGGCAAATAAGGTAAAAAGTAAAAGTAATGTGACTAAACCAAGGGTACCCCAGTGAGGCAGCGGTAAGTTTACGAACTTACAACACTAGTTAAATCGGCAAATAAGGTAAGAAGTAAACGTAATGTGACAGTGAGACAGCGGTAAGTTTACGAACTTACAATGCTAGAATCCGGGGTTTGATTCCCCATGGTGGAGACAGCAGATAATCCAGTGAGTCTTTGTTCTACAATAAACAAATTAAACCAATGACGTAATAGCTTACCGAGCTGTTATATAGTTTATATTATCGTATATCATAATAAATTAACCAGAGATAAAACCAATGGTGGTCATTACACTAAAGCGGTTTATTATATTCCAAGGAATTCAAGTATAGACATGAAAGTTTTTAAAAGGTCGTGATAGTCTAAAAAAAACTTAGAAATCTACAATCTTTAGCAAAAATTTTGTTCAATTTCTAACAGAATTGAATGAATTGTGTTTAAAATTCACAATGAGAAACCTCGGTTATGAAGAATGAAACTGAGTTTACAATTCATAAAATAATGTAATGATGAACAAATTCTTTGTATCTAATAGCCAAGAGTTTTAAACATTGTAGCATACTTGGAATATATCATTTATATATTTACAAGTATGACTGATGTGTAAAGATTTACTATTATTTATATATACACCTAAAACCACGACTGATGTGTAAAGTTTTACTATTATTTATATATATCTAAAACCACGACTGATGTGTAAAGTTTTACTATTACTTATATATATCTAATACA